TATAAAAAAGATTCCTGCACACGTATGTTTATCGCAGCATTGTTCACAATAGCAAGAACCTGGAACCAACCATGCTGTTTGTCAAAAGAGGACTGAATTTTAAAAATGTGATACATATACACGATGGAATACTATGCAGCCACAAAAAAAGAGCAAAATCATGAATTTTGCAACAATCTGAATGGAACTAGAGTTTATAATACTGAGTGATCTCTCACAGAAACAAAGATCTGAGTATCACATGTTCTCACTCATAAGTGGACCTTGAATATCTATTGTAATACCATAAAAAAAGGATTGACAGTGCTGGGAAACTATGGGGCCGGGCAGGAAGGGGAAGGGAGGTGGGATTAACGGTAGTCAATATCTGTCTGGAGACGTGGGGACACACCTTATCAACAAGGTGCCTGAACAATGCATATTTGTATACCTAACCCTTAACTGTACCCCACAATTTTAAAATAAAAAATATGTTTTTTTGTTTTTTGGGGTTTTTTTTTTTTAGTTGGAATCTTACTCTGTCCCCCAGACTGGAGTACAGTGGCCACTCCCGGCCACCGCGGCCTCGACCTGCTGGGCTCCGGCGATCCTTCCACCTCAGCCTTCCAAGGAGCTGGAACTAAAAGCGCGCGCTACCACGCCCGGCTAATTTTTGGTTTATTGTAGAGATGAGGTCTCGCCAAGTTGCCCAGGCGGGTCTCGAACCCGCGGGCTCAGGCAATCCACTCACCTCAGCCTCCCAAAGCGCGGGATTACAGGCTGAGCCACCGAGCTAAAAAGTATGTTTAATAAAAAAAAAAAAAAGATAGGGTAAATAGGGAGGGTAAAGCATGGACATCATGCCATTTTTTATCAAAAACTGCTGAACACTCAATGTGGTGCAGGCAGATGCATTCGTGAATCACTCATCATGAAATGGACAAATGCTTTGAAAGAATCTCCAAAAAAAAAAAAAAAAATTCACTGACCCCAAATGCAGCCTCTCACTAGAATGCTAGCTGGTACAGTGATGCCAATGGTACCTGGAGGGAGAAGCCTATACTATAAAGGATCCGCCCTCCAAAAGATAATTCCATTTTTGGGGGGTCCCCCTCATATATCATCCCTGATGTAGAAAGCTAAATACTGAATCAGAAGATGAAAAGCAGTGTAAGACTTGGAACCAGATACCTGGTTTCCCACCGCTCCTGTTCCTTGCTTGCTGAGAACAAGGATGTGAGGTTTTCTTAGGCCTAGGTTTCTCACCTAAGGGTAAGTGTGCATCACAGCCACTTGGAGAGAAATTATTTCAAGACTAACACAATTGCTTGTGCTTAAGGAGCCTCATGAAAGAAGTAAGTCAGAGTGTTTTGCTCTGTTATGCCCAAATCCTCTTAGTTACCACTGAGAGGGCACCGTTGCTAGATATTTCCACTTTTTCGTTGTTTTATTTTTCTTTTTCTTTCTTTTTTTTTTTTTGTCACAGTCTCACTCTGTTATCCAGACTGGAGTGCAGTGGCGTAATCACGGCTCACTGCACCCTCCAACTCCTAGGCTCAAATGATCCTCCTGTGTCAGTCTCCCAAAGGGTAGCTGGGATTGCAGGCACTCACTCCAACACCCAGCTAATTTTTTTTATGTTTTTGTAGAGACAAGGTCTTGCTGTGTTGCCCAGGCTGGTTTCAAACTCCAGGGCCTAAGCACTCCTCCTGCCTCCGCCTCTCAAAGTGCTGAGATGACAAACGTAAGCCACCATGCCCAGCTGATATTTTCATTTTCAAGAGGAGCTGAAAATTCAAAAATTTCTGTCATCTTTTCCAAGGTTAAAGCAACAAATGTCTCAGCTAACTCAAAACTAAAACATGATGAGGAATCTTTGAAGCCCCCAAAACAAGAATGAAACAAATTATCTGCAGACCAAATGCAATTCATGGTCCACCGGTTCCTGTCTGACCTAAATCCTAACAGCTGGTTATTTATTCCTGGTCTATCACAGCTCCAGATCACATCTTCCACATGGTCAGTGGTTTGAGTGGTAGTAACCAGAGGACAACTGGCTGAAATTTTGCCAGAAAAGCCAAATCACAATATTTAGATTAGTATGTGATTCAGGTTCTTAGAAGTTTCCCTCTCCCACAAAAAAGTCACTTTATTAAATAAATGATGCTTACCGATTACCAATCTTTATTTTAAAGTTCTTAGGGTAATAAATTATTTCATATAGAACTGAAAAAAATACAAAAATCTAAGTTCAAGACAAGCTTTTTGAACACCAATTGTAATCCAGCACTTAATTCTTTTTTTTTTTTTTTTTTTTTTTTTTAAGGCAGGATTTATTGAGAGGACAGAAAAGCTCCCAGAGTGGAAGGGGACCCAAGAGTTCTAAGCAAAACTAAATGGATATTCATCCTGAGACATTATTGGGAGATTGGGACCCCTTGGGAAATACATGTTTCTCCTGGCTTGAGTCAGTGCTCAGCTATTCCCAATACTGGTTTAGGAAGGTTAAGGGTGCTTTAGGAAAGTTTTGGTTCCCTGAGCCTCATGCAGTTGGTTCTTTACTTGTTTTCCTGCATACTTATAAAGAGATTTATATTGTGTTCATGTATATTATCTCAAATGAACCTCTCTGCGACCCTCTGAGGTGGTGGGGCAGAGTATTATTATCCCTGTTTTACAGATGAGAAAACTGAGGTTCAGAGTGGTTAAGGGACTTGCCTAGGATCACTTGGTAAGTGGTACAACCAGGATTGGAAACCAGGCCTCTTGATCTCTCACGGCCATAAATCATGTAGCTGTGGCACATTGGGAGGTCCATGAGTGGAGGGAGACCCAGTTCAGCGAGTGGAATGGGAGAAGACAACTGTGATAGAATTAGAAGGCACCTCAAGGAGGAGGTAGGAGGCCAGCAGGCAAAACCACCAGAGCCAAGGTAGCACAGAGAATAAATTCAGTCTTAGCCAAGACTGGCCTCTAAGGGGTCCCAGTCTGAGGGCTGGCTTAGGGGAGGGAGAACAAGGGGTTTCAGGCCAGGAGGGAAGAGATGGTGAATATTCTGGGAGCAGCAATTCTCAGGTCGCAGAAGTACATGAGTCTGAGTTCACATGGGAAACCAGGCTCTATTTCAGGAGAGGGCCTATTGGGAATAGGGCTAGGGGAATGGGCTCTCAGTAAGAGGCAGGATGGAAACCAGGGACCAGGACCTGAGAGGAGGCCAGTCAGATACTCTGGCTGCACCGGGAGGGTTAGATAGGGATCTCATAGTCTGATACTCAAGTGCACCCCGAGGTTGACCCCACCCCAGGTCCAGGTATAAAAACAGGATTTTTTATAGATTCCAGAAGGAGTTCCAGAAGGAAGTCCGACATACTGCCTATACCAGGCCCCCATTGGAGGCTTGTTTGAACAAATGGAATCCTCATAAAAAAGCCTCCAACAGGCAACACCCTGAGGCAGGATGCTGTCCTCTTCTCTGTGAGACACCCCACACTCTCCATGAGGACTATCCACAACCCAGTTTTCCCTGTGCTTGTCGCTCCAGCACGCTCCTCTGGCAGTTTCCACCCTGTGACCAGAAGCCATTCTTCTCACAGGTTCTGTTCCTGGACAGCAACCCGCTCTTACTTCCAGTACAGAGGGAAGAAGCTCAAGGAGAGGAAAAGTCCTCCTAAATCTACGTACAAGTACCCTCCTTGGAGTGGAGGTGAGCTCCGCCATGTCCCACTGTTCCATCCTCTAGAAACTTAGACTTGTAAAGAGAAGGAAAGGGCCCCAAGATCCAGTTCCAAGACTTCCCAAAGGACGCTTGCTAGAATGATGGGTAGCTCATTATATGGCCCTCAAGGAAACAGGAGCCCTTGGGATATACATTATATATATTACCTGTGACTAGAAGGCCCACAAAAGGAGACCTTACTCAGGTACCGCTCCCCAGCCATGGCTCCCAGAATGCCTATGGGTTACCTGTCACAGTCTACAAGGTGTTACAGTCTCCATGGTGACCCACTTTAGTGTTGCTTAAGAAGCCACCAGCTCCAATGATCTCCATTGAACCTTACCACTTAAAAAGCATTTATTTTATAGTGTTAAGTGAAAACATTAAAAACTGGATATAAAGTGAAGTTTTAATGTGACCTATATATCTTTATACATATATAATTTTTAAGAAAGCATAAAATAACTTAGAAATAAAGACTAAATGTTAATAGGGTTATCTCTGGATGGGTGTGATTATGAGGGAGTTGTATATTTATTTATATGTTATATAAGTAATATATAAAAACATAAACAATTAAATAATGTGCTTATATATATATACACACACACACAGTCGTGCACCACATGATGTTTTGGTCAATGCATACCACATATATATGACAGTGGTTCCATAAGATGATAATACTGTATTCTTACTGTATTTTGTGTCTATGTGTAGATACACAAATACTTGCCATTGTGTTATAATTGCCTATAGTATTCAGTAGAGTAACATGTGGTACAGGTTTGTAGCCTAGGAGCAATAGGCTCTACCATATAGCCTAGATGTGAGTAACTACACCATGTAGGTTTGTATAAGTATACTCTTTGATATGTACACAATGATGAAATCACCTAACAATGCATTTCTAAGACTGTATCCTCGTTATTAGGTGATGAGTAACTGTGTAATTGGTCGTTAAGCCCAGTTCCTTTCCTAATACGAGATACAGCTGTGATTGGTACTTGAGCAAAAGGAAATTTTAACAAGGGGGAGAAGGGTGGACAGGTCAGTGCCTGGTGAGGGCAAGGCTCGGTGTCTTTTGGTGGAAAGTTCTGAAAACAAAACAAGTCCATGAATCTGGGGACAGCAATAGAACAAAATATGGATATAGGACAGAATTATTAAAAACAGCAACTAACTGTCCCATGATGGAGCTGAACATTCTCTTATTTGTGCTCAAACCTGTTTGGATCTTGTGTCCACATTTCCCAGAAACCTACCCCTCCCCCCAGACCAGCTCTCGTGAGCAAGCATCCCTCACTTTTGTGGGTCAAACACAGGCCCTTGAGACCTAAATCCATCTGAACAATCAGAGAAGTAATTCTGGTTGACTGTAGATCCCAACTCCTGCCCCTCTGAGAGGATCCTCACCTCAGTAGGAAACAAATCATCTACCTCCCTAACTGCGGCCACCTCAGTGATTGTGAACATTGCTCAGTATCCTTGTCTCTGCCTTGCAAAATGCCATGTCAGCCGACAGAAATCAGTAATCCCTTCAGTACATGGGGCAACGTGTCCTTGTGGTGGGGTTCGGAAAGGCACTCATATAGGCTTACAGTGGGAGCAGCAGAAGAGAGGGAGAATAATAAGAGAAAGGGGACAGAGAAAGGAAGGGCAAGTGAACAATACGCAGGGAAATTGGTCTTCGGTCTACCAATTTTTTTAATGCTTGTTTCCTTCCTTCCCCAGAAAGTTCCTAGCTTTTGCCTTATTTCCTAGCTGAGTTCTAGGGAAGTAAATCCTCAATTCTTTTCTGATATCAAAAGAAGGAATAGAACAGCAGGATGCCCTGAATTAAGGAATCTGGGTTCCAGGCCTGGAGAGTCATTGTGCATGAACTTGGGGATCTTGAGTATACTGCTTCCCTCTCTCAGCCTCATCACCCTGATCTCATGTATTAGTCCTTTTTGTGTTGCTATAACAGAATACCTCAGATGGGGTGATTTATAAAGAAAATTAAATATTTGGCTTATGATTCTAGAGACTGGGAAGTCCAAGAACGTGACACCAACACCTAACAACGGCCTTTATTCTGTGTCATCCCATGGTGGAAGGCAGAAGGGAAAGAGAATGTGAGAGAAAGTCAGAGAGGACTTTTATAATACCTATTCTCCAGATAACACACCCATGACTGTGATAATGACATTAATCCATTGATGAGGGCAGAGCCCTCTTGGCCTTACCTCTTAATGGTCTCCACCTCTTAATACCATCTCAATGGCAATCAAATTTCAACGTGAGTTTTGGAGAGGACATTCAAACCATAGCATCTCAAAGCATGTTAAACAAGAGTGTTCCTGCTCACTTAGACTTTTTTTTTTTTTTGAGTTCATCACTCAGGATGAAGTGCAGTTGCACAGTCAGCTATCATAGCCCTGACCTGCTAAATTCAGGCAATCCTTCCATCTCAGTCTCCCAAGTAGCTAGGACTACAGGTAGCCACCACCATACTTAGCTATTTTTAAAAATTTATTGTAGATATGAGGTCTCATTATGTTGCCAAGGCTGGTCTCAAACTCCTGGGTTCAGGCAGTCCTCTCACCTCGGCCCCCCAAAGTGCTGGGGTTACAGACATGAGCCACTGTGCCCAACCAGAAATATTTATTTTATCAGGAGCTGTTGCAAGGGTTTTTAATGCTTGTCTCCTTCCTTCCCCCAGGAGATAATGCCATCCTAAGGTTTACCATGCTCAGAGGTACTGAGTGGTTGCGACCTCAAGTGCGGGAAGTGATAGCAAATTCAGTCCAAAATTGTGAGTTGGAGTTGGATCCCCAAGGATACCAAAGGTTTACTACTCAATTAGAGGGTGACTCTAAGGTCACCTTGACCAGTTTCCTTGTTGACCATGAGGAGACTAAGACCTCCCAATATGTGAAATGACTTACTCAAGATCAAACAGCTTGGGAGTGTTAGAGATGAGGTGAAAATGGGTCTTCTGACCTCCTTCCAGGGATGTGTATGCAGCTTTCATCTGTATAATTGTACCTTGATTGTTTTCTAGGAAAAGAATTTAGGAAGGCAGGTACCTGAAGCTTCTCTACATCCCTTTTGACCCCTCTGACCGTTTCCGGGCATGATGTGTGATCTTTATTACCTTCCCCTCACCCTGAGGCCACCTGCTAACTTGAAGTACCACCCCATACCTCCTGCTTCCTGAAGGTTCCTGCTACTGCTCTTCTCATCCTTGTAACAAACCCTGTGGTCCTCGCCTCCCATATTGAGGCCGTTTTATATTCCCTTTCTTCACCATATTCAGCCTCAAGGAGTCAACCCCACTCCCATACATTAAACCTGCCTTTGTTTCATGTGGTCTCTCCCAGCAAAACTTTCTTTCCAGTCCCAATTGTCAGCTTCTTTTGGGGGGAAAAGTTGGGAATACTACTTTTCTGTTTTTTGTAGGAATGAAATACTGGCTCGACTGATCTGCCTATCTGAATATGTTTCCTCATTGCTTTATGGGAGAGGGCACTATGAAACACTGCCCATGATCTGTGGGCAAAGGCCAAACGTCTTGTGATTCTAGTGTTCATTTGACTGAATCTCCTTATTTTACTTCCCTGGGACTATGTGGTTTATTTAATGGCCTTTGTGTTCAGATGAAATCACTCCTGGGACCAAAAAAAAAAACAATTCAACTTACACACCAGGTCTCCTGAATATCCCTGGAACATTGCTGCTCTACTTCACTTTTCCTGACCCCTTCCCTGGAGTTGTGTCAGGAAGTCTTCCCAGGATGGTCTTCCTCAGACTGGAGGCCCTCAAATAACTGTGTCTGTGTCATGACTTCTGATGCAGTTATCCTCTGTATTTGTCTGTAGCTTCATCAAGCAACCTCACTCAGTCAAGACTTGTGCTGTCTACCATGCAACTGTGTCCAGTCCAGGGGTAGGTATAATCAGAAATCCTCTTCTTCAGTTCAGAGCTGCTGTGTCCAAGCATACAGTAAGAGACAAGATAAACTTCCCAGAGGTCTAGCTCCACAACCTGACTCTCCTTGGCATGTAGAACCTAGAAATTGAGCTTGCTGCCTCTGGAGGGGCCTGTATTCAGGGCAGTTAAGGAGGGGTTTTTCTGTGGGTGTCCTTGCTCACCTCCAGTTCGGAAAGGCACTTTTAGGAAATTGATGTTTCCTGACCTGCTTTCCAGTAGAACACCACTGCTTATGGAAGAGTGTCCCAGAATATATTTATTGTTTTATTTATGTAGATTTAGGGAGTACAAATGCAGTTTTGTTACACAGATCTATTGTTTAATGTGAAGTCTGGGTTTTTAGTGTAAACATTACCCACATAATATGCACGGTATCCCTTAAGTAATTTCTCATCCCTCATCCCCTTCTATCCTTCTGAGTCTCCAGTTCTGTTATTCCACTCTGTACGTCCATGTGTACATATTATTTAACTCCCACTTACAGCTGAGAACATGTGGTATTTGAATTTCTATTTGCATTATTTCACTTAAGGTAATGGTCTCTAGTTCTATCCATGTTGCTGCAAACAACCTGATTTCATTATTTTTGTGGCTGAGTAGTATTCTATTTTATATACATATAAAATAGAATAATATATAAAATATATGTATACTCCACATATTTTATCCAAATGATCTTTTATTGCCGGCTTCCCAAATATTCCATCTGTTCAGGGTCGGGTGCATCTGTTCAGGGTCAAAGGTGAGAAAATTTGAGAAAATTTAATATTCTGCTTGGCAGGATATTAGCAAAAAGAACAGAAAGATTCGAGCCTATTAACTTACTTGCTTCTTTGTTCGTTTGTTGGCTTATATAGTTTTTTCATTTTTATTTTTTTGAGACGGGGTCTCACATTGTTGTCCAGGCTGGAGTGCAGTGTCATGATCACAGTTCACTGCAGCCTTGACCTCCTGGGCTTCCATCTCAGTCTCCCAAGTAGCGCCACCAAACCTGGTTAATTTTTTAAAAATTTTTCTGTAGAGACGAGGTCTCGCTATATTGCCTAGGCTGGTCTTGAACTCCTCGGTTTAAGAGATCCTTCTGTCTCAGCCTCCCAGAGTGCTTGGATTACAGGCATGTGTCACTGTGCCTGGCCAAGCCTGTTAAAATCTGATTCAGCCTAACTCACTCTGCATAAGCACCAAAGTGAAACTGATGCTAAGATACAACTCTGGGAGAAACTCTAGGGATCATAGAAACCACAGCTGAGAAGTGCCAAAGAGTTGTCTGAAGGCCAAGGTTGTAAACAGCAGCTTCTGTGAGTGGCATGCCTGGTCTCCTGGCTAGCCATCTCTCCTTCTCAGACCTGCTTCCAGACCTGTCCTTCCAACAAGGACTTGGAGTTGCCCAGGTTTCTTTTGCCAGTGTTAGCACCTGGAAGGCAAACCGGAGTATGTACTTTGAAGTTATTTACACGAAGAAGGCATTTCATGGTTTCAGAGGTTACAAACTCTTAGGGGGAAAAGGTGGGAATAAGTGTGCAAGAAGCCTTATTCTGAAGGCCAAAGGTTTCAGTATTGGCTATTGTCATTCCTCAAGGATATGACAGGGACAAACCAGCAGAGAGTGCAACTTCTGTAACCTCGTCATCATTGCAATAACTGGTTATTCTCTCTCCCTTCAGACCGAAATTATCCTGTACCAAAAAGGAGAAGAAGTAATCAAGTCAGCCCCCCAACAGAGGCAAATCATCCCTCATTGGCCTCCTAACACTGACAGAAAGTTTTCTGGTCAGAAATAAAATGCCCTGGTGTCATCTGCCCCTGGAAAGATCAAGAAGGGGAATGGGGTGACAGTGCGAATATGGTAGGGCGAGACTGCAATGGGTAAGACTTGGACAGAGAATGAGAGGAAGCACCTCTGCCCTCCCTGAGCCTGGGGGCCTTGTTGGAGATGGTTTTTCCATGGTGGGTTGGACCAGGAGGCCTGGGCTCTAGGTCTCATTCTCAGCTGCATGGCCTTGCACAAATCCTGACTCAGATTGTTGAAGAATTCATTGACAAATGGAGCAGATGTCACTGAACACAATAAGAAACAAGATGCTGCTAGCATCAGCAGTAACAGATGGGGTCTTTTAATGCTAGGATCTCCCATTTGGACAGTGACTCCCATCCATTGTCTCAGTAAATCCTCACAACAATCCTGTGAGCACTCACGTCAGAAATGATTTAATTTTATTTATTTAATTATTAAAATTGTTTTTTGAGTTTTAGCCTCACTTCATCACCCAGGTTAGAGGGCAGTGGCATGCTCATGGCCACCCCAGCTCATTGCCTGCTGGGCTGTGGTGATCCTTCTGCCTCAGCCTTCCAAGTAGCCAGAACTATAGGCATGTGCTACCACATCCGGCTAATTTTTTGATTCATTGTAGAGATGAGGTCTCGCCACGTTGCCCAGGCTGGTCATGAGCCTGTGGCCTCAGACAATCCTCTCACCTTGGCCTCCCAAAGTGCTAGGATTACAGGCTGGTCAGAAATCATTTATGTTTAAACAGATAAAGAATCCGACTCATAGAGAAGGTAAGTGACTTTTCCAGAATTACTGGGTAGTAAATGGCAGTGTCTGGACTAGAACACAGCACTTCTGATCTTTGTCCTGTTCTTGTTCTAAGGTAACCATATATTTTTGTTTTTACTTTGTTTTGTTTTTGAGTCAGTGCTTCTGTTGCCTAGGCTGGAGTGCAGTAGCACAGTCATGGCTCGCTGCAGCCTCAACCTCCTGGGCTCAGGCAATCCTTCCACTTCAACCTCCTGAATAGCTGGAATTACGGGTGCTCATCACCATGCCCAGATAATAATTATTTAATTTTTTTGTGGAGACAAAGTCTCTCTATGTTTTCTAGACTGGTCTCAAACTCCTGGGCTCAAGCAATCCTCTTTCCTCGGCCTCCTAAAATACTGAGATTGCAGGTGTGAGCCACCATGACTGACTATCTGTGCAACTTTTTGTTCACAAAAGGAAGAGTTCTTCCCTAGAGTTCTGCTTATTTGCCAACTAGTAGATAAAGAGACTCTTTGTAAAGTTTCTGACTTAATGGTCTAAACTACTGTCATAGTTTTAAGTGACTAGGCCCATTTTCTCTTCTCTGAAAAAAAAAATTAGGGGTAAAATGAGTCAGAATTTCCTAAATGAGTCATCTACTTGAGATAATTGAAAATAGGTGGGCTTGTCATCTCTATGAGTTATAGAACAAGAAAGAACTGGGAAGCTTATTGGAGCATTTTTTCAAATTTCCAATCAAAATTTTCTGTTATGATGATATCCTTGGTTTCCTAGACCGTTCGCAAGGATATAAAATGTTGGGATGTCAGAAAGAGCTCATGTACACATAAGACTGTAGGATCACCTGGTGGGGCAGTAATTGCAGGAGATCCAGGATGACTATAGACAGACACACCCTAGAGGGGTTCTGAAGGAAGGTTAGGTGTGGAGAGCCTCTCAGGCCCCTGGGAGAAGGCCCGGCAAGGCAACCTACACTGAGTGTAGGCCAGGCCCAGAAGAAGGGAGTGAGGCTTCCTTCTGCTACGAGGGCTAGAACTTCAGAGTAGGACTGCAAGTCGTTGAAGGAAACAGAAACCCAGTTCCTAAACATCAGGCAGATTACTAAGGCAAGATCCCAAGAAAGGAATGAGAAGAGCACAGCTACTAGAAGTGAGTTATCAGGGAAGGGCCCGATCAAGAAGGTCCATGCATGGAAACAGAGAGGATGTTAGACCAGCAACTAGGTGATTGATAAGAGTCTAGTGAAATACTGATTCACAGTCACATACCTAAATGCTGGTATGTAGGCTAAACCTACATGCTGGCAGTAGGTGAGTCCCACTTCAAGAAAAGAAAGATAGTTTAACTGACTTATTTGAATGAGGTCTTTGCCCCATCTTTCCATTTCTTAATTATCTCTCTCCACATTCACCCATGGCTATACTCATGTGCAGGTGGTATGCAAGCACACATGAGTGTGTTATTTAAAAAGCCTCATGAGGCTGGGTGCAGTGGCTCATGCCTGTAATGCCTTTGGGGGCCGAGGTGGAAGGATTGCTCGAACCCAAGAGTTTGAGACCAGCCTGGGAAACATAGTGAGACCTCATGTCTACAAAAAATAAATTAATTAATTAATTAACCTAGCATGGTGGCATGTGTCTGTAGTCCCAGCTACTCAGGAGGCTGAGACAGGAGGATCTCTTGAGCCTAGGAGTTCAAGGCTGCAGTGAGCTATGATCGTACCGCTGCACACCAGCCTAGGCAACAGAGCAAGACACTATCTCAAAAAGTCTCAGGACACTAGAACAACCTGGAACCGGGAAAAAAAAAAACAACTCTTTTATAGAGTCTTGCCGATTGCTTCCTTTGGTTTCTTATGTGATCCCTTCAGAAATCCCAGATGTAACATGCTCTAATGCAAGCTTTAGGCTGGTGTCAACAAAGCTAATCACCCGTAACATACAGGCAGGTAATATAAATTAGTAAATTAGTCCATAAGTGATAACAGGAAGTGGTAGGGACTGTGGTGAACTGGAGAACATGCCTCAAAGTGGTCACCAACAGTCAGCTTCAGCCAACTGACCCATTGTTGCCAGAACTTCTACTTAGAACAAAGAAGGAAAGAAGGAACAGAAAGAAGAAAGGCAGGCAGGGAGAGAAGGAAATGAAAAAGAATTAAAAATTAAAAATTTTTGTGATACTACAGACCAAACAAAACTTAGCTAACTAAGGTCAAGATTGTCCCATAGCCCCAAAATTTACAATCTTGGCTTTAAGTTTTTTCTTTCCCCTGGAAACTTTTTTTTGGGCCATGGGTCTAGCATGGGCAGAAAATATGGGAGGGGAGGAAGAGAAGTCCCAAAAATAGATCCATAGGGGTCTGACATCAAAGAAAGAGACCAAGGAAGAGGGTCCAGGCACGGAGTTCCTGTATTTGTTTTCTCTTGCTACCATAACAAATTCCCAGAAACGTGGTTGCTTAAAACAGCATGAATTATTTAATGTTACAGTTCTGTAGTTCAGAAGTCTGACCTGGGACCCACTGGGTTAATATCAAGGTGTCAGGAGGGCTGTGTCCCCTTCTGAAGGCTGTAGGGCAGGATCCCTTTTCTTATACATTCAGGTTGTTGGCAGAATTCGGTCCTTGCAATTGTAGGACTGAGGAGGGCTTGTTTCCTGGCTGGCTGTCAGCAGAGGGCCTTTCCTGGCTTCTGAGAGGCCACTTGCATTCCCTGGCTCCTGGCCTCCTTTCTCCATTTTTAAAGCCAGCAATAGTGGGTCAAGTCCTTCTCATCCTTCAACTTTTTCCTGCCCCTTCTTTTATCACCACATTTCTCTGGTTCCCTCGTTTGCCTCCCAACTCCCCTCTTAAGGGTCCACTCAGATAATCCAGAATAATGTCTGTTTTAAGGTCCTTAACCTTAATTCCATCTGCCAAATTCCTTTTGCCACACAAGTTAACATATTCACAGGTTCTGGGAACTGGGACAGGGATATCGCTGGGTGGCCACTACAGATTCTGCCTGCCACCATCGTTAGACCAACTTCCCTAGAAATGAGTGTGTAAACTCAGTCTGGGGTTTCTGGTGTGATTCCTGCCTCCTAGAGCCTTGGGAACACCATTTTCTTCTCCTCCTTCTCCTCCTTCTTCTCCTTCTTCTCCTTCTTCTCCTTCTCCTCCCCCTCCTCCTCCTCCTCCTCCTTCTCCTTCTCCTTCTCCTTCTCCTTCTCCTTCTCCTTCTCCTTCTTCTTCTTCTTGTCATATCTCTGACTACCCTTTCTCAGTCTTTTTAACTCTTCCCCTCCTTTTTTTCTCAAATATCAGTGCTCCCTGTGACTCTACCGTTGAATGTATCTTCTTACAATATACTTTCTCCTATTGGACTAAAATACTGAGCCCCAACTTTTAATAGGATCCCCAATGGGACACTGCACATTTAATGTGTCCCTGGCCAGCTTCGGCTTCCTTATTCCCTTTCTCTGACCAGCCCCGTCTCCCAAGCTAGAAAACGTAGTCATCCTCAATTCATCCCTCTGCCTCCCTGTAGGAACTGGACGTTCTGTCCATTCCGCCTTGGACATGTCACTCACACCCAGACTGTCCCCTCTTCTGGCACTGCCTTCACTTGGCCTTGTCCCCATCTCTGACACTGCGAAGTCCCCTCCCTCTCAGCTATCTCTCCTGCCTCTCCACATGCACCTAGCACACATGGCTTCATCCCACATGCTGAGGCCAAATCCTGTCTGCTTGCTTCTTCAGTGTGAAAACCTTTATTTCCTCTCTTTGCCTGATTGAAAAAGCCTCACCTCCTTGGTGGAATATATGACCGATGATAATGTGACCTCATTCTGGGTTTCCAGGTTCTTCTCTTTCCCCTCTCTGCCTCATACATTACATTCTCCAGCAACATGGTTGTCTACAATGTTCCTCTCTTTCTCTTCCACCTGGTGACATCAGATATCACAAATGTGGCACCTCCTGCTTCTCCTCTCACCCTTTCCTCATTCTGTTAGTTCTGAGACACATTTTCCTCCTCTTGGAGATGCTTGTTCATGCCTCACCTGTTAGACTATATACTCTTTGGGACTGAAATCAAATCCTATTTTTCTTTGTACCTAAAAGAGATGTAGAAATATTTTTTTTACTGTACTTATCACAGTGACAGGCAGATAATAGGTG